AAAACAGGGAAGACTGGGAACTTTTTAATACGTCAAGTTTGATAGTCGTTTGTAGTTTTCCTTACGTAAACTCGATTTTTTTTGTAGTGGCATTATTGATGATTTTATATAAATATAAATGATTTGTTTTCCAAATGGCATACTCGAAATTCCTTAATAACTTCAAGAATTATGTTTGACATTTTCTCATATGAGAATGCATAATACATCAACATTCTTAAATCATAATACTTCTCAAACAATATATATAGAGGATATCAAATTTGTAGGACCATATCAAATGATAGATTTTGCTTATGTTTGCTTCTAATGTTTCTAAAAAGGATTAACAATAACAATAATGTAATGAACTAATGATAGAATTGTATTAGAAGATAATTTATCATCAAAATCTTTATAAAACTTAATTTGATATTTTGAAAAATCTTAATTATCATCAAAATTTACAATTGGTATTCGTTATGTTAAAGCTTCATGGAGACATTTTGTGGTAATGGAGCATATTGTGGCTTGAGATGTTTCTCCATGGGTTTGAAGGCAAAGAACACCAAGACGGCAGTTTCCAAGACGGAGTGCATTGCCGAGACGACCTCGCTCCATGTTGCGGGTCTTGGAATCGCGAATTGGTTTTCGTGGAGAAAAGCGATTCCAGCAGAAGTAAGCTTGACCCCATGTTGAAGAGTGATTTAATCATGAACTATGCGGATCAGATTTTAAGATTCTTCGGCAGAATAGCGAGCTTGGATATTCCGTCGAAAAATCTGAGGTGGTTGTGTGAGTTGTGAATTGCTATAACAGAGGAAAATAGAGGTAGTTGTGAGTTGTAAATTTGTGAATTGCGAAAACAGAGGTCAATATATATACGAACTTCACACGTTTAATAATATTTATTTAAGAAAATAAAAACAATTCATGATGTATAAATATATATTAGAGAATGCAATCCACCTCACGAGTTGTTTGTCGTTGTTGTATTAAACCATTAAACTTTGTTTTTCCTACAACAAGCAAGTTT